ATCTCATACCAACTCCGCTAATTTTTTACATATTATAAAAATTTCTTAATACCTACGCATAGCGTATTTCGCGTGAGGATGAAGATCGATCGGCGTTCTGTTCACAAATGCAGTGAATTGTTAAAAGCGCAAAATAAGATGTTTTAATACAAAAATATAAATTAAATGGAAAATTTAAAATGTTTGTCAAACATTATTTGTATTGTTTTTTTTAAATTAAAGTAATAAAATATTTAGGTTTTTTTTCTAAACAATTTGTAGGTGGTGCGTTGTGTCCCGCGTAATATACCCAAGTCCCGACCGAATGTTGAGCTGGGAAATCTCGGAAATGCCTTTTTTGAAGTTGGCAAGCTTACCCATGACCCAATAAAGTAAATTAGAAAAAGTATATAAACATTTTTGATAGTTTTCGCTTGGGTTTATTATTTATAAATTACCATGTACCATGTTTTTTATTTAAAAATTACCATGTAAGCTTGCTAAATTTTCATAAAATGTCATGCTTGTGATGTTAAGAAGAGCATTTTGTCCATTACTTCGAACGCTATTGGCAACGACCGTATTAGCCGTAATATGATCCTTCCAATTCTTGATATAGTCATCCCAATCCTTTGTCATATCATTAATTCCTCAATTTCTTGTTTGTGTGCTTTTCCTTCAACCTGAAAAGATGCTGAGCATCTTTGAAATTTATCCAATATCTAAAAAAATCAAATGCTGCATTTTTCTCTGATTATCGCCCCATATCCATATTACCATTCCTGTCCAAATTCCTTGAAAGGCTTGTATCTAATCAGCTTATAGCTTTCCTTTGAAATAATCTCCTTTTTAATCCTTTACAATCTGGTTTTCGTCGGGGCATGACACTAGGACAGCCTTTGTCAATATTACGGAAGATATCAGATATGGCATGGAAAACGGTAAATTAACTGTACTTACTTTACTGGATTTTAGGAATGCATTTAATTCTATCGATTGGGATTTTATTGGGCTTATTAAGCTCTCTTAATATATCTCCAACGGTGGTTGAATGGTTTCGAAGTTACCTGTTCGGGCGCCGGCAACGCTTACGCATTGATGATACTTTCTCATCATGGTGTAGCATAATTGCTGGTGTCCCACAGGGTGCCGTTTTATCACCTTTGCTTTTTTCAGTTTTTATTAATTTGATATCCTTTAAGACAAATTCTTCCTATCACTTATGTGCAGGTGATTTTCATATACAACATGTAACATAATTAACGCACTTTGAGAAAGTAGTTTGTTCAGAATCGTTTACTGAATCGATTCCTATCATTTATATAGGTAATTTTTTATCCCAAAAATAATTAAAACTACGTAAATTACAGTCACACTAAATATGTACAGTCAAAACAAACTGAAATGGACCGTAACTTAAGGCATTAAGACTTTTAAGAGAGCAGTTTTATTTGTATTATTACTAATTCTGTCATTCAATAAAAATAAACAAAAATGAACTTTATTTCAAGCACGTTAGTCTTTGCGTTCGTGGAATTGTACTGTGACCACAACATTCTTCCGGAATTAGTATAACTAATTTGATAATCAGTGCATAAAATATTTAAAAATTCAGTGTATATATTATGATTATAACATAATACACTAATTGGGGTGTCTGAGGGTGTGCGTTAATTACGCTACATATTGTATATACACAAGCAAATCCTAGTGACTCCTGTAGAAATTAACACCATAAACTGTGACCTAGCGATCATTTCGGAACGGAGCAGAAATTATGGTCTCAAAATTAACGCAACTAGACACAATTATTTTAGGTTCTCTGCATATGCTTACAAAATGTAATTTACCACAAGCAACCAGTGGTATTTGATGGTGATATAATCCCGACTAGTGACACTGTCAAAAACTTGGGTTTATACATTGATAAGACTTTATCTTGGGGTCCTCAGTTACAGGAAGTTAGTCGTAAACTTTTTGCAGCTGCTCATTATTTGAAAACACTACGAAACTTTTTACCAACTGCCACTAAGATTGCGCTTGCGCAAGCTCTTCTGCTTCCAATCCTCGATTATGCAGATGTCAGCTATCTTGATCTCACTGAAATGCAACTTGATAAACTTGAGCGACTTCAAAAATTTTTTATAAGATTCATTTTTAGTTTGCGTAAATATGATCATGTGTCAGATTTTCGTCACAGGCTCAAGTGGTTGCCAACTCGCCTTCGCCGCAATGCTCATACTCTCTTGCTTCTTTATATTCTTTTTAATCCTTTCTTTCCTACTTACCTAAAAAATCTGTTTGAATTCCTCCAGGACTCATATTTGAGATCATCAGAAAATTTGATATTAAAAAAGCCAGCTCACACTACCAAATTTTTGGACAGATCTTTCACAAGTTGTCAGATTATGGAATGACTTGCCGTTATCAGCAAGACGCACTCCATCCGTACCGGTCTATAAGAAACATGTACATAATTATTTTCAACTGTAATTCTATCAAATTCATATGTACATATATAATTATTCTACCTTTATCTAGCTACACTATGTTTATATGCATGGCATATTTGTTATGTTTCAAAATATATATTAGTACATACTTTAATATATCCACATTTATAATATATGTAGGTAGGCATATATCAATAAGTATATATATACTTATATATGTACCATTCTGTATTATGCATCTTTATCTCTATTTTATAGTTTACTAGCTTGCCAAGTAGACGTTGTTCTGTCCTTTTCGACGATCCTTTGTCATGGCCTATGAAAAATACTTAAATTCGCAAAAAAAATTTTTATGGGTCACTCATGATAAAATAAAATATCCTATCTCTCAAGTTGGACCAAACTACACATGGTGTGCAAATTTGATTAAAATCGGTATAATAGTTTAGGAGTCCATCGCGGACAAACAACGTGACACGTAATTTATATATATTAATATAATATAAAAATAATGTTACCATTGTCGCCAAACCACACATATGTTTTAGTTTTCTTGTAATCTTGTTGTCAGGAAGTGATCGCTCTTAGCAATAAGACCGCCCATTGTACATTTCTCTCTCCTTTTTTTTAATTTTTTTTTGACGTGCAATTTTGTTACCTATCTATCTGCATATTTACTATGAGGCATTTATCACACTTGCTGCCAAATTATTCCTGCTGGGACTAGCATTTCGACATAAAATATCCAATATTAGCTAGATTGTTGTACTTCTTACATAAGTTCTAAATAGGAAGTATAGATTGGTTTTATACCACATAAGGTTTTACCACTAAACATCTTTTAACAATAAATAACAACAAATAGTAATAATAATAATGAATTTCTCAAAAATATACTAATTACTTGAAATGTTTAAGTAAAAACCTTCATTTCTGTGGGTGATGCAGTCTATTAATCCGAATCATATAGTTTAAAAACTGACAACCAATGGCTGTATTGTACCAGCACGCAGTGAATAGAACCCTTCCACTAGTTTTGCAAACAAACAGCAGTCACATTCTATAACTTGAGGTGGATCAGTGCAATGTTTTTATGACAGCCATTGGTGGAGGCCTATGTACAGCTGTAATGAACAAAGATTGTAATGATGATTGAACGGAAGAGATGAAATGCGAATAAGAAAAGCAAACTGTAAATATTGTTAAATTGTCAAAGGTTTGCCAAGTAATTTTCAGCATTACGATGTTTATTGCGACAGTTCAGTGGTTGCTTCATCAAAGACTAAATCCTCTTGTCTTTCTGGAATCAAAAATCAATGTAACATATATAAAAACAATAAATTGAAATATTGACAGATAAATTTTTATTGCAGATTAGTTAACAGCTGCATTCCAGAACCAGGAAGTTCCTAAATAAAGCTCAAAATTATTTACATACACAATAATTTATTGTTTTCTTACAACTTAGTGAAGCTAAAATACATCTTGTCGATCGATTACATTTTGAAAAAGCTTTAAATTTACTATCTCTCCCAGTGTTAAACTGAATGAATGTTTGCTTCTTCTTGCAGCTGTAACGTAACACACCATATCTTGCCACTCGTGCCAGATGCTAAGTCAATTTGCCATACTATAGAATATTAAAATGGATATAAAGGAAGGTAGCTTGGGAAGGAAAATGTTGAGGAAATCATAACGCAAGTATCCTTACAACCACAATATATATTAGATAAAATTATAATATAAAGATCGCCATATTGAAAAAAAGTCTAGATTAAATTGTAACTTATTATCTTATGAGATACACTGTAATTTATATTGAATCTTGACCCTATAGGAGCTTTCCCATTATTTTACACAATATTGTGGATGAAAGAAATCTGACCACTTCAATCAACGTCAGTCTGTTGTAGCATGCTACACTTCCTAACTTAAAAGTTGTTTTACTAGTAAAAAAAAATAACACTCACTTAACTCCATCAACAAGCTCATTTTGTTGTAGCATTTACATACATTACCAGAATGTTTTTAACAATTATGAGCTTTACTTACATTTCATTGATAAAATTATTTAATGATCCAGTAGAGATAAGCAAGGAATGCTCCATATCCTAAACATATGGCTATTGTACAGTTTCACAATGCAATTTAGATCTAGTTAAAGTACAAATTCTTTAGATATTACATAAATTCAAATGATGTAAATTTAACTAATATTTTACTTCAACTAAATGAGTGTATGAGATAAGACATCTAAGGACACATCAAATTTAACAAAACAATTTTGCAATCATAGAAAATGTCTCTTAAACATAGATTAACAGAAACTATTTGCACAGGTGTTTATGTAATGATGCAATGATTTATAGATTAAAATAACTGGAGGTGACAATAAACCAGGCAAACTAGAAATGACCATGTAAGTATTTTAAATAATTTTCTGCAATTTTGGGAATTTAATATGGATTTTAGACTAACAGGGACTGAGGAGCAGGAACATAGAAAAGGGTAGAGCCCGGGCTGTGGCGATGTGTGTGTATATGTTTTGCAGATGTCACAATTGACTCATCACATGGCATACTTCCTTGTCCACTCTCGGGCTAATTCATTGTACTTTTCTCTGTCAGTTTTATAGATCCTAGCAATTTCTGGCACCAATGGATCATCTGGGTTTGGATCACATAGCAATGAGCAGATTGAGAGCAACACTGAAAAATAAACACATAAATTTTATCAATTATAACCTAAAACCACACAGCTTTAAACAAAAGAATAATGATTAGGTATATTTTAAATTTACCTTTAGATATGGTAAGTGCAGGAGACCATTGTGCACGGAGAATGTCAAGGCAAATTGACCCATTACTGTTTATGTTAGGGTGATAAATACGTGTTGTGAATGCAACTTTGGGTGGTTTGAATGGGTAGTCTGTAGGGAAATGTATAGTCAAGAAAAAAACTCCTCCTTGATAAGGGCTGTCGACCTGAAAAAATAATAAAAATGGAATTAAATACATATAATAATGAAATTCAATAAAAAAAGTTAAAATTAATTAAATTTAATTTTAATGTCATTTAAATACTATTGACAATAAACATGTCAGAAGGACAGTAAACATCTGTTGTATATACTTTATCACTGATAACAAATTTTACAATGTATATAATCATGATAAGAATTTAACTTACAGGACCCATTATTGTGGCTTGCCAGTGGAATACTGAAAAGATAAATAATATAAAATTAATTATTTCACCATTTAGACCAAATCAATGTTACAATAACAATAAACTTATCAAATGATTAAAATCACAAATCTATTTCACCAAATTGGTAAATGTCTATGGGATTAAAATAACATCTATTTGAATAACTTCAATGAACAGCTGTTTCAGTTCTTTGTTGTATAGAATAATTTAACTACGAAATAAACTTAAAAAAATTTAAATAATAACCCTTCAAACACAGTACATATTAAGATTTTTATAAACTTTGAATGATGAACACACAATATTACTTATTGTACACCTTCTGTCTGTCAATGAGTCACAAAATGATGTGGTATAATTTCAGATCAATAAATACTTACGATCTTCGCCGTGTGGACCTGCAGAACATTGTGCTGGTGGATCTCTGCCCAGGTCTTGTAATTCCTGTAAATATAAGTATATTCATGTACATCCACCGGAAACAATATGAGATAAGTTAAACACATCATCACTCGTAAAACGTCGAGAGATTTCTCTATACAAAGGCCAAAATAAAGGACCCTTGGTAACATAAATAACGCAGGAGTACGTTTATCCAGTCAGAAACATAGCACGTCACAAAAATATGACAAGAAAACCTCAAAATTGGCACATATTTCCGACATTTTATGTACCTACGCCGTGTGCATAAAATTGTCCAAAATATACAATTAAAATTACAATCACCTTACACAACACACTGAATATTAGAAAAATTTGTAATATAGGAATAGAATTTATAACAATCACGCACACGGAATTATCCAGAAGAATTTTCGATAATAGGTATTCACAATGACGAAACATTCACTACGAAGTCTGTTACAAATTTTACAGCACATTATAATAAAACTTGTAATCCCTTACATTAACAAAAAACGTAACAGTACGTACCCTATTAATTCGTTTTAACGCCATTTGATTATAATATGATGGATTAAACTGACTTTTAACTAGACAACGAAACTGTGAGCCAAGGACCTTTGATTAGAGATTGCAAGATGGCTCCCGTCTAAACGCAAAAGTACCACTTAGTCGTTTTATGTAGTAATATTGAAATTATAACAATTTTGGTAAAACTTTAAAGACTTAAATAAAAATAATAATAACTAATATTAAGAAATAATAAGAATTAGAACAGAGCGCAGGTTCTAACAAAATTAACGCACTCGCGGCGAATGGAGTTCACCAAACAGGAAAATCGACCATTTTCAAAGAGCGTTCATGATAAGTCATTATTTTAAAATTTGGACATGCGTAGATTTTTTTACAAATACTTAATTAATAATTTTAAAATAAAATAAAAAATTCGCTAAAAAGGAAATAGTTTACCAATGACTTAAATTAATTAATAAAATACGTTTTGTTGAAGTATTTTTTATTTTGTTGAAATGATGTAATTGATACCATTTCCAGCTTTTAATATTGCAACACATGTATCGGAAGTGACGTACGCAAAATTCAGGGCGCTATTTTTGGTTATCGTACTCTCGTGGGAGAAACAGGAGAGTAGTATTAAATTGCTTGTTAAAGTAATTGTTCAGTTAGGCAGCTATTTTCATTCACCTTTTGCAATTTAAAACTAAAAGGTAGTGAATATATCCTCACGATTTGAATCTTTTACATTTTACAGTTATATGTGGAATTGACAAAATATGCTGTAAATCAAAAAAGAGTGCTATGTAACAAAAACTTATCTACGACTACTAACTACCACCTAAAGTTCAGGTTCAAAAGGAAGCTTAACCCCCAACTGAAGGCAGTCAGTGAATTCTAATGATATATTTCGGAAAGAAAGAGTATAGGTGAGCTGGCTCCTTTTCGCAATAAAGAAACACGCTTGTTTTTTGGATGCATAAAATCTCACGAGATTGACAACTCTCATTAGAACTGGAGTGAGAGATACATACGCTCAATCGAAGCCGCTCTTTCGCATCGGATTTGATCCCGACTGGTCCAAACACTTAGCTGTTTATATCTCTCTACAACTGTCCTGACATCATCATCATCATCATTACAGCCCTTTACAAGTCCACTGCTGAACAAAGGCCTCCCCCAAGGTATGCCACAAAGCACGGTCCTGAGCCACCTGCATCTATCGACTTCCTGCATGTCTTACCAGGTCGTCACTCCATCTAGTGGGGGGGGTCGCCCTACACTTCGTCTACCGGTACGAGGCTGCCACTCGAGAAACTTTTTTACCCAACGGTTGTCGGTTCTTCGAGCTATATGGCCGGCCCATTGCCACTTCAGGTTACTAATCCGTTGGGCTATGTCGGTCACTCTGGTTCTACTGCGGACATCCTCATTTCTAAGTTTATCACGCAGAGAAACTCCGAGCATAGCCCTCTCCATAGCTCGCTGAGCGACTTTGAGCGTCCTCATTCGGCCAGCAGTGAAGGACCACGTCTCAGTTCCATATGTCATCACTGGCAACACGCACTGGTTGTACAACTTAGTTTTCAGATTTGGAGGTATACCTGACGAGAAGATGCGTTGTAATTTCCCGAACGCTGCCCAGCCGAGTTGAATCCGTCGATTGACCTCTCGGTCGAAGTTGGACTTACCTAGCAGGACTATTTGTCCCAGGTAAACGTACTCGTCAACAACTTCGAGCTTAGTGCTCCCAACAACTACCGGCATAGGTGTGACATGGACATTAAACATGATCTTTGTTTTGTCCATGTTGATCTTGAGACCTATCCGTTGGGAGGTACTATTGAGTTCATTAAGCATAGTGCTTAAGTTCTCCAGCGATTCTGCCATAAGGACTATATCGTCGGCAAATCGAAGGTGAGTGATGTACTCGCCATTGATGTTAATACCGTATCCTTTCCAGTCCAGTAGCCTGAAAACGTCTTCCAATGCATCGGTGAAGAGTTTCGGGGATATATCATCACCCTGTCTTACACCTCTCTGCAGTTGGATAGGTTTCGAGCTCTGGTTCTGTACTCGGATAGCCATCGTAGCCCTACTGTACAAACACTTCAGCACTTCGATATACCGACAGTCAACTTGGCACCGCTAAAGAGACTGTAGCACCGCCCAAATTTCGACGGAATCAAAGGCTTTATCATAGTCCACATACGCCAGGCAAAGTGGCAGATTGTACTCTTCGGACTTCTGTACAATTTGCCGAAGGGTATGTATGTGTTCTATGGTGGTGGTGTACGGAAGCCTTTTCGGAAACCGGCTTGTTCGAGAGGCTGGAAGTCGTCGAGTCTGCGTGCGAGACGATTTGTAATGACTCTCGAAAACAGCACGTAGACGCGGCTCGGAAGGGATATCGGTCTGTAGTTCTTCAAGAGGGCGTTGTCACCTTTCTTGAAGAACAAGACCACCGCACTTCTGCTCCACGCCTCCGGAGTAGTGCCACCGTGGAGGACGGAATTAAAGAGCCTCTGAAGGACTTCAAGTACCGGTTTTCCACCCGCTTTCAGAAGCTCCACTGTAATTCCATCCTCGCCCGGGGACTTGCCGTTTTTAAGGTGCTGGAGAGCCATTCTAATCTCGCTCAGACTGACGTCCGGGATATCATCGGAATAGTGTCGGATAAGACCCGCTCTTGGATCGTTACTCACACTTGCGTGTGGCTCCAACGATGATGTGTACAGCTGCCCATAGAACCTCTCAATCTCACTCAGAATCTCAGGTGTCCCGGAAACGATGCTGCCACACTCAGTCTTCAGCTTTGACAGTTGGCTCTTACTGGCAGACAGATCTCTGGCAAAGACTTTGGAGCCCTGGTTCCGCTCAATCGCTTCTTCAATACGAGCAGTATTAAATTTGCGTAAGTCTCGCCGCACGCATTTGGAGATCTGTCTGTTCAGTTGCCTGTATGGTGTCAAATCTGTTGACGATTGCAGCCTCATCTCCCGTCTAACAGCCATGAGATTAAGAGTGTGATCGGAGAGCTTTTGTGTTCTTCTGCGGCCGGTCTTGCAGAACTTAGCTCCGACCGCATGGACAGTTTCCACGAGCTTGTCATTCATATCGTCCATTGCATTGCAATCTTCTAGGCACTGAAAGCGGTTTTGTAACTCGAGCTGAAAGGTTTCGGGATTCTGGATTAGAGCACGAGGGGGACGGACCGTTGACTTCATTAGACGAGACCTCTCCAACTTAACGTTTAGGTTCAGTGTGCCTCTAACCATTCGGTGATCGCTGCCAGTTTTCACCCTTGCGATCACTGAGACATCACTGAATAGTTGGCGTCTGGTCGTCATAATGAAGTCAATCTCATTTTTTGTCGAACCATCGGGGCTCGTCCGGGTCCACTTCCTGTGGGGCCGCTTCTGGAAGAAAGAGTTCATCATAAAGAGTCCCTCTTTCTCCATGAAGTCGGCCAGCTGCTTGCCCCTACGGTTCCGTTGCCCTACTCCAAATTTCCCTAACTTCAGCTCACCGCTTTCTCTTGTGCCGCCTAGTTTTGCGTTGAAGTCTCCCATCAACACCGTGTAGTGGGTTTTGGAGGAATGCATGGCTCTGGAAATATCCTCATACATTTCCTCCACCTCCTCATCGGGATGTGCCGAGGTTGGTGCGTAAACCTGTATGACCTTCAGCGAATATCAGGTACGCGACCCTCGTCGACACACTCCCAATCTTTACAACGTTGTTGACGAGAGACTTGTGGACGATAAATCCGACACCTCCTTGGGACAGATGGTCGCCCTCCCGGTGATAGAACAAGTTGCCGGACTCGAGGATTACCGTGTCCTCCCCATCTCTTCGGACCTCAGATAACTGACATGACATCTTCGTCCTGACATCTGCGTAGTCAAATAGACACCATTCACCCAGCTGGCTAGTAGCCGTACATTTCAAAAACTTGCGTAAAAAACACACAGCTGTTTATATCTCTCTACAACTGTCCTGTGATCTGCGTACCCAAATAGATACCATTCACCTAGCTGGGTAGTAGCCGTACATTTCAAAAACTTGCGTAATAGGCTAGCGAGCCAAACTTTGCCAAAGGCTTTCGAAACATTAAGGGAAATAGCAATAGCTTCGCAGTTCTCCTCTAGACTCTCGCACAAGATGTGTATGGCATACGTTAGAAGATACGCGATCTATGTCGACCGATTATGGCGGAACCCATACTGTAAAGTTGCTAAGGACGTCGTTCTGCTCTGGGTATGCCAAAAGGTGAGCGTTCAATATAACATGCTCCTTATACTTGTAAAGTACGGAAGTAATTAAGATCGGCCGATAATTGGCATGGTCATCACGGCTGCCTTTTCTTGAAACATGCTGCACATTGGCTTGCTTCTAAGATTTAGACACTATTCCAGTCCTTAATGAGAGGTGAAACAGGCGTGGCAACATAGAAGAAAATTTGGGTCCATAAGCCATTAGGACTAGAGCTGGAATACCATCTGGTCCACTACGAGGGCGGCACTGAAAATTTCGGGAATCAAGGAAGTGACACAACAATACTATTTAAAAATGTATTTATTGCTTTTCGAAGTATTCTCTGCGAAATTTGACACATTTTTCCATACGATGGAACCAATCATTGAAGCAACCATTCCATTCGGAAGTTGGGGTCTCCAAAATGGCCGTTTTGTAGGCGTCCACAGCTTCTTCAGGTGATGAAAATCTCTGTCCACGCAATTTATTCTTTATTTTAGGGAAAGTATAGAAATCATTAGGGCTTAGGTCGGGGCTGTACGGCGGATGGTCTAATAATTCTATGTTTTCTTGCTCTAAAAACTCTTTTGTTCTGTATGCGGTGTGAGAACTCGCATTGTCGTGATGGAGGATGATGCGGCGGTTGCAGTTCACTTTACGGAGTTCAGAAATGACCTGTGACAAACAAATGCTAGCATACCATTCTGTATTAACCGTTCTTTGTCCCTCAAGAGGAATATTCATAACATGGCCGGTTTTGGAGACAAACGTGGCCACCATTTTTTTTGCAACACTCCGTGAACGAACAATTTTTGTTGGCTTTAACTCATTTTCGAACACTCAAACTCGTGACTGGTTTTTTGTTTCGGGTTCGTACGCATATATCCAGGATTCGTCACCTGATACGATGTTGTATACAGAATTTGAGCATCCTGCGTGAAATCTTTCGAGAGTTCTGACGCACCAAGTAACGCGAACCGCTTTTTGCTCTTCACAGAGCGAATGCGGTATCCATCGGGAAAACAACTTTTTTACACATAATTGTTCATGCAAGATTATTTGTATTTGACTTATGCCGATGTCTAAAGTCGCCTGAATTTCGCGGTATATCACATGTCGATCTTCCTCAATCAGCTTACGCGCAGCATCAACGTTTTCTTGGGTGACTGCAGTTTTTGGACGACGGATCATCACTGAGCTTGACACGTCCACGTTGAAATTCTGCAAACCAGCGATAAATTGTGGCTTTGGATGGGGCTTCATCACCAAATGCAGAAATCATCCGGTCAATACACTGTTTTTGTGTTAAACCACTTCGAAAGTCATAATAAATCATCGCTCTTGAATTTTCTCGAGTCAATTCCATTTTCTCAACGACTAAACAAGTTTGACAAAACCTTGTGACAAGACCGAGAATCTTTTTTTTAAATAAATAAATGGTATTTGATTTTAAAAACCAAGGAGTTTTCAATTAAAAAGATTTTAATATGACAGGAACAGTGGAAATATTCCATTCTCGATACTTTTAGTGCAGTCTAGGTAGTTTTGTTCACGTCTAGACCCCTCTGGTCTTATTCAAAAAAAATATTTAGTACGGGTTGAAACCAGGACTAAAAGATCCAGGTTATTTACAATATTAACGTAAATACTAGAATCAAAATGTATGCTTATTACAAACCGTAGACTATCCCGTAGACTTAGGATAGTAATAAGCTTATGGAATATCCGAGGACCCGTTAGTACCAAAGTTATTAATAATAGTACTGGTTAAAATAACATCCACAGATAAAAAATAAAAAAGACACTGTTTCGTTTTCGTTCTTAAGGGTTTCATTCAAAGTTCGCAGGTTTCATTCGAACCGCTTTTAACCGCCGTTGAATTTTATACGTAATGCCAGATAAAATGTACTATACTTACGAGTGAAATGATATACCGGTGAATTTACGTTCACTATCACTTTAATATCTTAAGACTTTACATCTAACCATTTTTAAAGGTTTTAATTATTCTAAGAACTGAACTGAACAAGATTCACCAATCTTAAGCTCAAAAAAAACTTTTTTTCTCACTTAAACTAACTTGTAAACTCCTTAGATAGCTACGAACTGTCAAAGTTGCTTAGCAAAGTGTAGTTTGCTAAGCAAAAATCTGGCACGGAGAAAGGGACAAACAAATACACCACTCTGTCTCATTTCTATGGAAGATGTATGCATAAATCTATCTTTTTCGAGTGCGAATGCGAAAGAAGGCGTCAATTTGTCTATACGTTTCTCTGTCTACGGCTACTAGAGAATGTCATTATTCAAGTAAATCTGAAAATACGAGCATACGTACTCTTATATTTGGCATAGTATAAAGAGACAAAGATGAGATTTCTTATCTAGTTACATGCATGATTTACACGCAACATTTTTTATAGGATAAGGGTGACAAACGAGCTCACGGTCCACTTGATTGTAAGTGGATGTTGTGGCCCATAGACGACTACAGTTAACCTCGCTTAAGAATCGAAATGTAGAAGCGTTGTCACCCTTGAAGACTAAGATGGAATGCCTCGATTCCAGTAAGATGGGTCTCCGGTTCTCTACACTCACCACAAGAAACTTAAAATGACATTCCTGTTGTTTTAGTATTATGTGTGACGTTATTTTATAGTAATTTCAATCTTAATTTTTTGCACTAATCGAAATCGATGTACTTGTTTTTGTTTATTTTATTTTTTATTACTGCATCGTATACCAAAAAATATAAAGAAAACAGATTTAGACTAATTATTATTCGAGCGATGAAGAGAATTGATTTCTTAATCAAATGATGATGATTATTTTAGATTGCAAATATTCGTGTCATAAACTTTAGAAACTAATAATTAATTAGGTATGAATTCTAAGTCTTTACAGTCACACGTTACATAAGCGAGCTGTATCCTAATTGCAATCCTAATTTTAAACCCTGATTTACTACTTACTCAGCGGAAAATAAAAACCAACGAGAAAACTATATCTGTATGGATGAAAATATTTCGAAATTATGAATTGAAGGAAAGATCTTGATAATGCCGTGTAGTGGCGGTGCGGCGTAAGAGAATGCACTAACTCCTACTACAGAATATATATTATTTCTTAAAAGCTATAAGACCCCATACCATTCCCTCATAGGATTCCCCCTATGATGTTTTTTACTTGACACTGTGTGTGACAGTCTGACAGCTGACAGCAAGAACACCATTCACGGAGATTAGAGAACAGGAGAACGATCGCTGTATAAAATAGTGTCCCAGAAATATGGACAAAATAAGTGAGGCGCTGCGATCTCAAAGTTACCTCAATAATTTTTTATTTTTACAAATAAGAAATATAAATATTATTACAAATATAAATTTATTTTCATTATTTATTGTGGTATTAGTAGTGTATTCGTATTCTCATCTGGTTGGGCTGAATAAATATATAAAAGGAAATGGGAAATATACATAAATATATTTCATATACCAGCACAAATAAATGAATAATACATAAATAAATGAAAGCCTAACCAGATGGAGACCCTCGGCAGGGGAGACCAAACGACTGAGGTTTAGGGGGAAAAGGAGAGAAACCAGCGGACGATGTGGGCGGTATCGAGGAGCATCGCCTTCTGCATTTGAGCCTGGAGCGGTCCGTCACGGAGTCCCAGCCTCCTCAGATGACCCGAGAGGCTGACTGGGATAAGCCCGTTTGCAGAAACGACTACAGGAATAATTTCAGTCGGCGGACCACCCCACATGTCGGTCACCTCGTGAGCCAGGTCCAGATATTTTGTTCGTTTATCTGTTTCGGCTTTCACGAGGTTCTCGTCAAAGGGAATGGTAATGTCGACCAAAAATATCCTTGACTGTTTCCGGTCCATCAGCACAATATCAGGCTTATTCGCAAGAATAGTCCTGTCTGTGATGATGGCTCGGTCCCAGTAGAGCCTGGCGCGATCATTTTCGAGCACGGCTTCCGGCAAGTACTTGTAATACGGCAATTTCCGGTCACGAGACCGTATTTCAGAGCGAGCTCCTGGTGAAGAATTCTGGCTACTAGGTTGTGCCTGTGCAAGTACTCAGAGTTAGAAAGCGCCGAACAACCGGAGATGACATGCCTAAGTGACTCACCGGGATGGCGACAAGCTCGACAGATGTCGACGGTGCCATCCTTTAGGATGTATCTCCGATAGTTTTTGGTCTTAATAACCTGATTATGTATTGCACAGACAAAACCCTCGGTTTCCCCGAAGAGGTCACCAAAGCGTAGCCAGTGGAGGGAGGCATGCAGAGCCTTGTAGAACCTTCCGTGCAGCTCTATCTCCTTCCATACGGCCTCCCGGTCGGAAATGCTCTGCACTGCCGGGTCTTACCATTGCTTTGACGTTGACTAAGGATAGAGGGGTAAGTCCTTTATCACAAAAAATAACTTCCTTATGGAATGGATCATCCGATCTCACCCGGAATTAATTACGGAGGCTGCACACTTCGCGATTATGCATGGTGAGCGCGCTCAAAAAGCCTCGCCCAACATGCTTTCGCGGCAAGTACAGCCTCATTACCGACGATCTCGGATGATGCATCCTATGGGACGTCATAGTAGTGCGGACTTTTCTATCCAGGGCGTTAAGTTCAGTCTGAGTCCACCTGAGTATGCCAAAGGTATACATGAGGACAGGCATGACCCAACCGTTATATGCGTGTGTCTTATTCACACCAGACAAAAGGCTTTTGAGCACTTTGGTCAAGCGTGCATAAAACACGTCGCAAAGTGACTGTTTCATTCCAGCCTCATCGATACCGATGTTCTGTGACACACCCAGGTATCGGTATGATTCAGCCTCGTAAAGGGTCCTTAAACTGATGGGCACAGATAAGTCTATGCCCTCAGAGATAGCAACCTTTCCCCTTTCAACATGGAGGGCCGCACACTTATCCGTCCCCAGCTCCATTCCAATAGAATTGCTAAATTCACAAGTGATGTTTAGCATTTACACAAGATGGGAGCGACTGGAGGCAAATAACTTGTCATCCATATAAAAAGGTGGGTCACATTTGTACCTCCTTTCTGAAGCTGAAAACCCCTCCCGGAGCCCTCCAATAAAGTGCTGAGAGGGTTCAAAGAGAGGCAGAATCACATTGGACATAGACAATCGCCCTGGAAGATATCCCTTCTTATCCTTATGTGGCTTTCCGCAGCCATCATCCGCTCGCCCAGATGACAAAGGATCGTGCTCCACTGCCGCATACACTGCTTGAGGAAGTCTCTAACTGTACAGTCTATCTTGTACAGCTCGAGGACTCTTTTTAGCCATGTATGAGGCACCGAGTCGTATGTCTTTCTGTAGTCTATCCAGGCGGCGGAGAAGTTCCGACGGTTGCGTTTCACCACTTTGCCAATGACCGCGTCAATGAGAAGTGGTTCCTTGGTTCCACGACCACCGCCCCGACATCCATTTTGACCGCGCGACATCACCTGATTTGAGTCCAGGTGACGAGTGATTCTCGCGCTCAAAATGGATCTTAGTGTCTTGTATATCGTCGGTAGACACGTGATAGGGCAGTATTTGCTCGGGTCTGTGGTATCCTGGTCTTTAGGAACCAAATGAGTGATCGCAGTAGTGAAGAGGCTCGGGAGCAACTTCTGGTTGAGAGCCTCTTGGAACTGTCGGGCGAGCACAGTGTGACACACCCCAAACTCCTTCAGCCAGTAGTGATGCAGCCCGTCGAGTCCCGGACTTTTCCTGTTCGGGGCCCTACGGACCGCCTCAGCTACGTCATTCGGCGTTATAATGACGGGGTCCATGGGCGTTATACTCACACACTGACTCGCCACAACTTCCGTCCAAGAGCCCTCGCTGTGGTTTACGGGCTCTGACCACAGGCCGCACCAAAATGTTACAGTGTCGGCCTGATTCGGTGCTGGGCGCGTTCCACTTGCCATTGGTCGAGTCGACCTATCGGTATTTCGCCGAATCCGCTTTCCCCAAGCAGCGATTCTCTGATTCAGATCATCTATAAGCTCCGTCAGTTTTTGCATTATATCCGGCTGGTACAAACTGATATTTGTCCCAGCAAATGCCATCCTGACGGTGTGCACAGTTCTTGGCCTGTTATTGCTTGATCTGAAGTATATCAGTCTGCCGATGAGAGCTCTAGCCTTTGCGCTACTTTGGCCAGTAGCACGTCCAGCCGTGGAAACCTTGGCGCCTATGTTTCGGCAGACTGCTAGCGCGGTGCCAAAAAGAATTGAGTCCGTATCGCAAAGGTCCCGGCTGGCTTCCAAATAGGTCACCAGCATTGGGTTCAGAGCCCTCACGACAGCCCGATTCCGCTTGCTTAGGGCTATGCGGGGAAGTCGCGGTCGATTTTTGAGAGGCGTACTGCGCGTATCCATAATCGCCTCTTCCAATGTACTCCTCATTTGCTCTATTTCTAGTTCCTGGGCGAATGTTCCATCATCATTTGAATCAGCCACCACTGGGGTATTCACGGCGGTATCCACGTGTGCGGGTTGTTCTGCAACTTGTGGCACCGCATCCTCAGCCGTAGCAATTTCATTTGATATTTTGCGCGTTCTATCAAATTCCATCGTCCATTTTAATGGGCGTCATTCAACAGGAGACGCCCAGACCCAGCGCCGTTTCATGGTGAGGCCATGTGCACAAGCGGGCCTTTGCACCTTCAACTTATGCCGAGGCACGGCACTAACACCTCTTGGCAAGGTGCTGACTGACTGCGCTCACGTAGTGTAGTAATCTTAAAACAAGTATTCATAAATACGATTTTATTTTTAATATTTCAATAAGTCATGGAAGAGACACTTAAAATAACTATGATGTATTGCAAATTTCGCAAAGGGACTGCTATGCTTATCAATGTCCATTGCTGCATGTGAAAGAATATTCTCTCAAATAAACTTAATTAAGACAAAAACACGAAACAGATTTTTGTAAACTTAATGTAACGTCTGTATTGCACGTTAAACAAGGTATTGCTGAGCATGGCGATTGCATTGCATTCAAACCAAAGAAAGTTACGTTAAATCGATTGAACAAACCTATTTATAAAGATGAAAAAAATGAAGAATATGATTCTAACGGCAATGTTTAATTTTAATTGTATAATATAACATTTAAAATTTGCGTTTTTACTTTTCTTAGTTTAATGTTAAATAAATTAAGTTAGCAGTATTTAGGCATTTTTCACTACAGGCTTTGGCAGGTTTTGGCAGGTTTTCAACCAAAATCAGACAGGATCTGTATTTTAAAGATGGTCACATTGCAGCTGCTGCAGACTGACATATGGAGTGTAGAGGTAAGGAGTACAGATCTGTTTAAAAAAGTTTCCGTAGGAAAGCCTTAAATAAGGATTGCGCCACTGTAGCTGCAGTTTAAATTTTAAAGAACTTTTTATAATTTTTTTATTGCACAGACTTTCACCGTAATTATTTTTACAATAATTTTTTATTGCTTTCAAAATTTTTATTTTCAAAATCACTCTCAACGTATTTTACGGCGATTTAATATACCCCGTAGCTACTCGATCGCCGTAGTGGAGAGTTTTTGAACTGTTATTTACTGTTTACAGATTGACACTTTTACAACTATTCTCATATGGGAGTTGGTACTCCTTAAATCTACACCACGCGCGTCTAGTTAGTTTATGCTTCTACACTCCATATACTGACATCTGAGTCTGACAGTATTCTATTTTGACCATGAAGGTAAGAGAACAGGAGACCGATCACTACGTACTAAAGCATAGGCCGCCCATCGTTGAAAATTGTTGAATTTATAGCGACGCTGACGTCGGTGAGTAGCAACTGCGAAGTTAGCTGTTTATGAGTACAAGTAGATGAAGTTCGTTGAATAATGTACAAATTTTCTCTGCGACATTGGTGAGAAAATTTTCATGCTCCGTAATTTTGTGACAAAAAGAAACATTAAAAAATGGAGAAATATTTTATTGTGCGTAGATGTATACTATAATAGACTGACTTTTATTGACCGAACTTAGCGATCGCAGCGCCTCACTTATAGTGTCCATATTTCTGGGACACTATTTTCTACGGCGATCGTTCTCCTGTTCTCTAACCTTCATATTTTTGTCGGTCATAGATGTTTCTAAAACAGACGGTCTTTTGCTGTGTTGCCACCTTAGCTCTTTTTGGGCTAGATCTAGCACTTATTACGGTAGATGAACTCGTTTTTTGAAGTTTTAACCCTCAAAGAGTAATCTAGCCCTTTTTGCACGATACGAAATTTTCCGGACATTTTCCAGACAATGGTGGCTCTTTCTGCTAAAGAAACATTCGAGCACAACAAGTCTGTATCACCTTGCAGAGCAGTCATGATTCACCTTGCAGAAGCATTTTGTTTGATACCATATTGATATAACTTTTTTTTATTTGGTTCACAAATCGAATGTAACGTTGACGTTGACGATGGTGGTTCAGGTAACATAAAAATGTAACAAACGAACGTTCATTCCAATAACAGCGAACGCAACATGCAACAAGTGGACAAGATAATAAATACAAATAAAGGAATGAAAAAACTCTAAAGTAATTAAAGTCTAAAGTAAGTTTTATTACAATATAGATATATCGGAGAACATGACTGGAAGAACAAAGAAGCCACCATCAAATTTTAATGCGAAGTTTTCAAATTACAAGGATCCTGCTGGAATCAAGTTGTACCAAGAGGTTTGGAACTTGACGAAAATTATTTTCTCATTACCTTCGAACGAACGCTGATGCTGAAAGTGATTATAGTTCCATGAAACTTATTAAAACTAAAACCAGGAACAAACTGGGGCTAAAAACAATGACATCAATACTATATATAACTGCTATCTGAAAAAACTGTGGAAGTAATTTAAAAATCTCCTTCAAAATAACAAAAAAATGCAGATGTCAGTCTGCCATCAACTTCGGATGATTCCGATGACGACTCCGATTTTAATTAAAATTTAATAAGTAAATTTTAATGGAATTTAAGTACCTACTACACTTTAAATAAACAATTTGTAAATTGCATATTTTTTATTTGTAATGTCCATCGCACTGCGAGATGTTTCATTTTTTCTTTTCTGTTGTGGCCGCTAAAACAAAAGACAAAAGATATACATACCTATGCTCGATCGAAGACGGCACTCTGGTTTTGAAAGTTTTATCTAACGGACGTACGCCGTAAAAAGTTTTTATTTTTAACTCTTTCTAGCACCTCACTTGATGGCAGAATTTTCTATATCTAGCCCTTTTTAGATAGTCCATCTGCCTCTTTTCAAAAACCAAGGTGGCAACACTGGTCTTTAGGTCTTTATATTATCATATATTTACTATACTCTTTGTACTTTGTAGTAGTCTCTAGTCATAGCTTACTGACTATGTACTAGAGATTTATGGTGGTTAATATAGCGCATAGCGCCATATTATAGCGCGCTATCACTTCATAACACATAGCGCGTGATATGTAAGTAGTCGCCGTGGCGCTATTGCGCTATGGCGCTTTGCCGCTATTAAGTATTAATATCTAGCGGCAACTAGTTTTAGCAGCAGCGCTGTCGGGAGCACGCTATTCATCGCGTGCGACCTAATTTAGTGTTAGACGTTGTTTAGTTAGTGTATACTATATATTTATAAGTGATCGAAGTACACAGTTGTCTGCTGTAAAAGAAACCTAACTAATGTTTTTAAATGTAAATAAAATATAGATACAAAAATGTATTTAATAGTATATGTAAATAGTTGATTTTTATAAATACAATCAATAAACTTTAAAAAATTATTTTTAGCTCTTTCTAGTACCTCTTGATGGCAGAAGTTTCTGTATCTAGCCCTTTTTAGATAGTCCATCTGCCTCTTTTCAAAAACCAAGGTGGCAACACTGGTCTTTAGGTCTTTCTATTATCATATATTTACTATACTCTTTGTACTTTGTAGTAGTCTCTAGTCATAGCTTACTGACTATGTACTAGAGATTAATGGTGGTTAATATAGCGCATAGCGCCATATTATAGTGCGCTATCTCTCCATAACACATAGCGCGTGATATGTAAGTAATCGCCGTGGCGCTATTGCGCTATGGCGCTTTGCCGCTATCAAGTATTAATATCTAGCGGCAACTAGTTTTAGCAGCAGCGCTGTGTTAGACGTTGTTTAGTTAGTGTATACTATATATTTATAAGTGATCGAAGTACACAGTTGTCTGCTATAAAAGAAACCTAACTAATGTTTTTAAATGTAAATAAAATGTAAGTAAATAGTTGATTTTTATAAATACAATCAATAATCTTTTAAATACACCTTTATTTGATTTATAATTTATATTAAGGTTAAAATAACGTTTACATCAATTATAAAAAAAAAATTATTAATTTTATTTCGTTTTAAAAAGTACAAGCCTTAAAAATGTTGTACATAACTTTCCACGCTTATGCTTGCTTGCATTTAAGTTTCTTTGGTTATATTTAGTAACTTAGGTAAATAAACTTGTGTAAGTTGATTAATGTACTTGAAATGGACATTAAACGGAGTATTTACCCATATACGGATGTAAGGATATCCTAAAATATTCACACTAAGTTTTATTTGACGTCCACTTCTTTGATATCCGATGTCCAAAGTTATTGTTGATAATTGCATTTTACTATTTATTTATGTTGACTATTTATTTAGTGCTCAAGGCATATTTTGGTATTTTTGTCGGTTTATACTGTACTCGGTGCTAGTAGATAATTTTACTTTCCAATTTGTTTTCGTGACCTTAGATTTAGCTACATATAATAATTAATATGGACGTCCGAATATCCTAAAACAATCATACTGAATAATATTTGACGTCCATATTTTTGAGTTTTGTTATATTTCTATACGTGGACGTCAGATTATCGGCAAAATTTACCGCACGATATTTGACGTCCTATAACCATGAATATATTTATATTTTAATTTCTTGTGTATAAGACACACATTAATGATCATTACTTTTATGACATTTTTCGCTATTGTTTTATTTTTATTTTAGTGTAGGGAGTCCATGCGGTATGAAATATTCACTTTTGTGCTTCATAAAATTCTCCATTCTACAAACGATAAAACGCTTAGAAAACCTTTCTTATTTCTTTTTTGATAAATATTGCCGTTTGTAGCGGTTTTTGGGGCACGGTGTGCGCCAAAATTTCAATTTTAAATTACTACCTGTGTACACATAATAATATGGACGTCCGAAAATCCTAAAACATTCATACTGAATGATATTTGACGTCCATATTTTTGAATTTAGTTATATTTCTATATATGGACGTCAGATTATCGGTAAAGTTTAATACCGCATATTTGACGTCCGTATAACCATGAATATATTTATATTTTAATTCCTTGTGTATAAGACACACATTAATGACCATTGCTTTAATGACATTTTTCGCTATTGCTTTATTCGTATTTTAGTGTAGGCCATGCGGTGTAAAATAGTCACTTTGGTGTTTTATAAAATGTTTCGTTCTAGAAATGTAAAACGCTTAGAAGCTTAGAAAACGTGAGTGAAAAATTAAATTGTATTTCAACTAACTGCAAAACCAAACATA